GACTTGTCGCCATTCACATGAGCAGATATATGGCGATGCGTTTCAGAAATAACATGTCCTTGATCTTTCTTTTTCTGTTTCAGCTTTCGCTTTTTTGAAGGAGATGAATGACCCTCCTTCTCTCTAACTTGACCAATTCCCCCCTTTTGATCGCGATGAAAAGTGTGCACTAATCTCTCCTTGGCACGTTTGAATAAGCTCTTCTTCTTCCTCTCGCCAGTAGCGTGGGAACCGTCGTCGTCCGTGTCCACAGAAGACTGAGATCCTTCGTCTCCAGCAGTTCCGCTCTGAAGTGCCTTCTTGAGAATTTGGTCCAACTCGTGTTTCTTGAGCTCTTCATCCTTTGACTCCCGGTATTTGGATGGCATGGTTTTGCTTCTGGCCACATTCTGGCCACCTGGTTCCATGCAAATCTTGATACTGTCAGTATCGGGGTCAGTCTTGTTTCGGCGGGGCCGATGGGGCCCCCGTACCTCCTCATCTATCCGTTTCTCCAAAAGTTCTTCCAGAATCCTGGCCGCATCAGAGTTAACCTCTGCTCCAGTGGGTCTTCGTACTTTTTGGAAGTGTCCATTTCTCGACATCTTTTTGTGTGTTCTCTGAAAGGGAAGAACAGAAATGAGGTTTATTATAGGAGAATGGTGTACATAAATATCATGCACAATCGAAGCGACTCTAATGACCACCTGTCTAAGACAATCACCTGTCCAAACAAATAATTCCCATTTCCCCCCTTGTGGTCCCTAGAGACACTGACTATGATTAAATAGATCTACTCATCAAAGTCAACCTCATTTCTCCCCCACAATGGAGAGCCATCTCGGGCACTTTCATCTTTTAAGTAAGTAAATAAACTGCAAAATTTAAATGCATCATAATAACCAAGCCTATGATATTATGATAATGGATGTCTCCATACAGGTACTCTGGTGTTCATTTTTACAATCTACTCCCCGGGAAACTGATGTTTTTGTAACGGAAATTGGTAAAATTGATGCTATCATTCTGGTAAAATTATCAACACAAGTTCCACGTCTCTGTTGGTTTAAGTGATATAAATTCCATTTGAACTATATATTTCATAAACTAGAAACTTCTAGAATTCAACCGAATTAAAAGTTTCACTTAAAATTATAATGTAGTATTCCCTTTATGTCACAACTTGATGAACTAAAAAGTCAAAGTACAGCAACAAATAGTTTTCTGAACAGTAAAACAGTCACAGAGAAAAATTCTACGAGTTATAAAAACATTCATGATGAATCAACATGAAGATAGAGCAAACATAATATAATTATAACTCCTTAATAATCAGTCTATCAAATAAAATGTCAGAATTATGAATTTGATAGTATTGGTGTCCACACACTTAAATTTTTATGTGTGTAATAGCAACATCTAATTCACACAAATGACAATACGCACTAAAAATACAGGGCACCCAGGGGCGTCTCGTGGGGCTAAAAAGTGGGCGTGCACAATTAATTAAGCTATCACAGGCTGAACATAGTCAAGGGCATAGTAAATGGGATGGTGTATAGTTTTAGGATCTTTGGGTTGGTGAGGGAGGAGCTTGTGCTTTTATTTTCATTCCTTTTACTTGTCGCTTTGATTTCTAGAACTAAATCTCTTTGTTAGCTAAACATCCGGCATTAGAACTGAACACTCAAATAATACTGAGGAAGTATCCTGTCCATCTAGCAGAGCCTCATACTAGACAAGGGGCTGGGAACAAGAAGGTCTGTCCGCCTGGTGCCGCCCCACTCGCACGCCAGACGGTCCTCGTTCGTGACTGTACTCCCCACAGCCATGCAGCTTGTAGGCACGAAGATGACACCGTAAGCTTGGGTAATAGCCACTAGGAGCTACAAACGCTGAAATTGAAACCCTGATAGAAGAGCATAGCGAACATGGAGATGCTGTGATCTTCACGGATGGATCTGTCAACAGAGGAGTCAAATCGGGCTGGGCCTTCAGTGTCAGAGTTGATGGGGTATAGTGAAAGAGCAAAGTGGAGCAACTGCACTGACAACATCAAGTATGTGTATGGAGATAAAAGCCATAAAAGTGAAGCTCTACACTGGATCAAGAACCCTAGCCATCAGCGAGCAGTAATCATTACTGACTCAATGAGCACACTACAGAAGGTACAGAAAGGGATGCTGTATGTGGACTGGAAGGCTACGATCAGGGAGAGCAGCCCGGATAGAGTGGCCTGGATCTTCTGCCTGGGTCATGCCGCCAGTCATGCGGGGGTAAACCGGCAACGAGAGAGCAGACCAGCTGGCTGGAGAAGCAAAAGTGGGAGGGATTTTGACACTGGACCCACCAACCGTCCTAACCGCTGTAAGGGAAAATTTGAGGAAGAATAGGGCGGATAGCGGTTCCCACACTCTAGGGAGACTGAAGGAGAAGGGGATCCAAAGAGGAGAGGGGAAACACAGCCATCTGAGCAGACCAGTCCGACTGATCTCCAACCAGATCATGATGGAGACTATAAGTAGACAAGACTCTGGGATGGATCCTGAAGAGGGGGGGAGAGCAGAGATGGACATGTTCCAACACAGTGGACAAGTAAGTAAGGACTCAAGTAATAACTTTCACCACTCCACAACAAAACCATTCAAAGACACAAATCATAGGATGGTGACTTGAGTATGTTACGTTCACCTCCCTCAGGTTCACTGTCACAGAGTCACATAAAATAGCCTAGTGGCAAGACAATGAACCAATCATAATTCACTTGAGCACTCTGCTGGATTGCTCCGGGGCTCACATAATTTTGGCATTATAGAATAGTGTACAGTATATTATTTAGCCTGCCTACTGTGGGCTATGTTTCGGGTCTATTCGGCAGGAGCACATTTGAGATGTGCCGACTTATTTATTAAGGTACTACTCCCTACGAGTGTCGTCATCGCTTGGGTTATCCCAAAGAGCGATTATATAGGTCGGTTACCACTGTTGAATCTCCTATATTACGTTTAGTTAGAGCGCGTAGGCTTTGGCATGGCATTGTAATGTAAATGTTTTACGGCACTGTAGACACAGAAATGACAGTTACAGAGCCAGCAAGGCCCTTGTTTTGATATAATATTTGACTAGTCTAGTGTTTGTTTCTGACGTCTTTTATTTTATTATAATTGGGGGTGCTTTACGTAAAAGAACAATAAAAATTTTGGGCGGCACTGCACGACTGTGCTCTATGGACAAACTGCGCCAGGGGGGCACCTAATTTTTTAAAAAGAATCTTCTCCTCAGTCCGTGAACGCATGTAATTTCAATCAAATTTTTTTACTTCGTCAACATTTTAGCCAGGATGCATCAACAAGAATTTGCAAAGATTCCCAGCCATTCCCTCCACTCATCAGACACAAAGATTTCTTGCTTTGTTCAAAACGATATTGTGTAATACCATGGCCAATTGCAAAGAAAACGAGGCCCAAAGAAAAACATCCCTTTTAAATACTGCTAGAACAAAAACACTCACCTCTGAGCAATAAAAAGGCAAAGAATATGATTCACTAACTTTGAGTGGCATTTTGCACGTTGTTGAATCTTCTATTCAGATATAAGCCTACGTTAAATCGATACTAAGTTTAATCCGCAGCTTACTTGCTGCTTGCGTGTGTATCCAAAATAATTAAGATTGAAATTATTTATCACACACAAAAGATATTTGTGAACAATGACAATGTCTGAGCACAAATATTTGACTATGCCACTGAACATGACATGCGCCACTCTGAAGCAGTGTTGGTGGTATGTTGAGAGTTGATTCCGAAACTTTGGTCTATCCCACAGAAACAGAACTCTATCACTCAGTCTATCCTCTCGCGGTAATATCAGTTTCAGAGTAGTTGATGGTGTAAACTGAAAATCCTGATGTTATCTTTCCTCGTCTTCCCTTCTGTCTAGATAGAGACCTAGATTCTAGATCATCTAACATAGATCTAGGAAAATATCTATATCCAACTAATAGAAGTAGTAGCCTAATACTGGACTAGACTAGACTAGCTGTGCTGTACAGTATCAATCACAATGGCGCCGCCTTTCAGCGCTTAAACTTGACTTAAATAGCATCCAGGAAAATCAAGGATGTTTTTATTTCAGGTCAGATGCGCGTTCTAAGGTCATGTCGTGTCGTGTGGGCTGCTTCTTTAAAATTAAACGGCGGCCCACGGCTTGGCCTTGGCAGTCAAAGAAGTTGGAGTGAAGTTGGTTACACCTGACTGGCTTTAGTTTTAGACCCTTTACTGCTTTAGACTTAGTCTTTGACGTGCTTTCATTACCTCATGGGCCATGATCTGACGTAAGCTCCTGAATCTAAATCCAGCGAACAGTAGACCTGTTCCTACACACTAGGCTACCTGTGGAAATCCCCGACGTGTTTTTATTTTATTTTTAAAATGAATCATCACCTGTTCGAAAGCCTCAACTTGGACTTGGCCTATCTCTCTGATCCAAACAACGATCACGGAAGTAGGCCTAGATTATTATGTTGCTATTCAAAGGTTTTATCTGCTACGGCCTGCTCCGAAATTAAGACATTTTGTCCAGTGTACACATTACATTTTACATTTTTATACATATCTCTTTCACCTGACGTAAAGACGATAATCTACGAAAACTTTCAAATCAAAGATAGAAATAAACTATTGTTAAAGAGGCTTCCGTTAAAAAAAGGGGGGTATTTTAAAACAATTGAATTACATTGTATCATCGTAGAGATAATGACAAAACATTACAAACGGTTTTTAATCGGAGCAAGTTATTCACCTATGTATTTAACTCTTTAAATGGAAGAGCTCCTGCCAACTTGGTTTGAACTATATTTACAGTTTCGCATTTGGTTACAGGTGCAAAAATCATCAAAGTCTATATATTTCTTTTTTTATACTACTGAAACAGAATTATATTAAAATTAAAAATTTATAGTATATTGATCTTGTAAAAAACGAATGATATTTACAATGCTGAGACTTGTGAAAAGATGACTAAATTTGAGAGTTCACTGGTATTTCATTCGCAACACGTACCTGGCATCCTCGGTCAAACAAGATGTCGTCCTCCATAACATTTCGAGGCGCTCAGTTATTGTAAGGAAACATTTGCTTTCTTGCTATCTTTACCAGACAATTGAACGCTTAAAACATACATGAATTGTCGTAGTCCAGTTCTAAGGATTATAGGCTTATATGCTTTATCCTCTAGGCTTTCTATCCTCTAGAGTAACTTTCCTTTATATTATAAGCATGTTAATGTCAGCAAGGAAGGACAAACCGTGCCTCGCAACGACCTGACCTAGGGTCCTAGGCCTAGGTAGGCCTAGGCTCTAGAGGAATCTAGATATCTAGATTCTAGATCGAAGTGGCTAGCCGTACTTAGATCTAGGTTTGGCCCTATCGACTCAAGCCTGTTAAGTACACAGGTCTCATTAGATCTAGATCTAGTAATTATTCAGGTTCAAATACATGCAAGTCAGTAAGGCACCTTTTGGTTTTGTCTGAAATACAAATACTTTAGGCATTGCAAACTAAAAAAATTTCATTTACAATTCAGCCATCAATATTAAGTACGGCTAGCCTGACAGTCTAGCCGTCCTTAAGTACGGCTAGCCTGGCTGTCTACCCGTACTTAAGTACGGCTAGACAAGAAGTCTAGCCGTACTTAAGTACGGCTAGACTGCCAGTCTAGCCGTACTCTTAGGCCCTATTAACATTAGAAAACAGGAGGACATGCACTGTCATTAAGGCACCTGGTTTCGTCTCAAATACACAAATACTTTAGGTACTGAACCCTAAAAATGTATAGATCTACATGTATTTACAATTCAGTAGGCCTATTTTTTGTAAATGGTCAGTCTAGCCATCATATTATAAGTACGGCTAGACTGCGAGTCTAGCCGTACTTAAGTACGGCTAGACTGCCAGTCTAGCCGTCATTAAGTACGGCTAGCCTCTTCCATTCTAGATATAGATCTAGATGTAGATCTGATCCTATAAAATGCGTACATTATGAGGCTACATGCCCCGCTACCGTGTGTACATGACACTGAGACTTTGTGTCCGGGTGCGTGTTACCGTGTACGTAAACACTGAGGCTGAGGCTAGGTGCCCGGTTACCATGTACGTAGTCGGACTCAGCTTGTAAGTGAGTTATTTGAGTGTAAGGAGGTTACATAATATGACTGTTGTCGGGGGATTTTACATAAAACAGAATTAGATTAGACTAGAATTACCTACTAGAATCTAGATCTCGATTGGACTGTGTAATTGTGTCAAAGGCCGCCGTTATTCGGACTCGAGTCCGAATAACATTTTTTCATATTCGGACTCGAGTCCAAATAAAAAAATTTCTTATTCGGACTCGAGTCCGAATATTAAAAAATGTTATTCTTATTCGGACTCGAGTCCGAATATGAAGAAATGTTATTCGGACTCGGGTCCCGAAAAAAGGAAGTGTCTTTTCGTTCTATAGATCTAACGTTCAGTGCTTCCAATTTTCCGCCATTTTTTAGTTTCCCCCACACCTTATCTGCCGATCCAATGCCCGCCGCCTCATTGATACGCCCCCCCCCCCCCCCCCGTTTCCCACTTTCTTTGTTGTAGAAAAAGGTAAAATTGAAGATTAGCAGACCACCTGGCACCTGCATATTATGAGCTGTGTAAAAAAAAAAAAGACCGATTCGTTCAAATACACAAGCCTGTGTCATATCGATTGTTTACCAAGAAAAAGTTGTGTTGCTGTGTAGAGCTGAGCATACGGCAACTTTTGATTCCATAGACCAGCGCACAATTCATTACGTAGATCTACGTCAAGACTAGCTTATTATTGTAATAATGATCAGTTGCCGGGGGGAAAAAGACTGACGCGTATGCGACGTTCAACGCCCGGACCGATAGTGCCCCACCCTCCTCCCCGACATGCACACAGCCACACGTGTGCAGGCCGCCCATCCGACCCCGACACACGCTAGCGAGCCATCTTTAATTGCTTCTGATGACCTCTTGATAAATAAACATTTATTAGAAGCGCTATAACTTTTCAGGCCGGCCTCAAATTCATCATAAGATTAAAACTGGGCTCCTGCACAAAACGCCATCCTGCCCGAAGTGATCTCGGTCTCTACCCAGCCTGAGGCGAGTCACGAGTGAGGCAGGACAGGAAACCGGATTCACGAGTCACAGGAAGTCGGAAGTGATGTCATGCTGGACAAGAATCAGAGTCCGAATAACATTTTTTCATATTCGGACTCGAGTCCGAATAATCACTTCGTGTGTCAAAAGTCAAAAGACTGCACTCATATTGCTCAATGGCAGAGTGTAAGTCCAAAGTACACGGTAACAGACAACTCAGGGTCTTTCCACCACCACTACAGCATGATCATTACTTCCACCACCATTTGTCTTTCCACATGTTTAATTTCATTTTGTTATGTGTTACATTTTTTCTGTAATTAATTTTTAAAAAGAAGCACATCTCACAAAACCAACAGCCGTGGCCTCTTCCCAACACCTCTTCCCTCAGCAAGCCGAGAGTGCGTGACCGCTACGCGCAGTCTCATTTGTCGACATAATTAACTTTGCCCCCTGGCAAGTTCAACTCAATTTGGTTGTTCTGTTCATACTAATGATGCAGGGAGGGCCAGTTTAGATAGATCTAGTAACTGGATCTAGTAAAGCTCAAGTCTTGATTCTTAACCTTATAATTGAAAAATGTGTCATAAATGCTGGATTTAGGAACAAGGGTTGGAAGTCGCAGCGGACGTTATGCTGGACTCCATTCAGAGTCCGAATATAATTTTTTGTCTAATCGGACTCGAATCCGAATAGTCACTTCGGTACGCAAATGGACCCTTCTCATGTTCATTTTAACTTAGGCCTAGGCCTACTTTAAAGTTAAAGTCTTTGTTTTAATTTAATTGGTGAGTGTGTTTAAGCTGCTCGCAACTGCATAGGGTCATATATGAGCGCACAGGACCCATTTAAAACATGTTCAGTTGGTAGGAAATTTTGAATTTGCCCTGGTGGCGGCCAAAGCCTACTGTTTTTAACTATCGATTTTAGGACCACCAAGGGATCTTTAACTTACTTTTCCGATCTAGCGGCCATTTGGGTTCTAGCCCTACGGTCTGAGATCTTTAAAAACGTTTGCAACTTGCACAAGGGTCCTCGGAGATATTTTTCACCCTCAGCTTTTTCTGAGAAGGCTAGGTGTTAGAGCTTACGTGACTCTTTGTGCAACTCAAACTGCTACTCCTTCACTCTTCCTTACTTTTGTCTTTCATCCACACCCCTGATCATAGGGTAGGTAAAATCTAACTCCTTGCCTTCTCAGATAAGAGATTATCAGGCAAGGGCGGAAAATCTCGGAGGCCTTGTGTGCAAGTTGCACGTGTAAAAGACCCCTCGGCGATCCTAAAATCGATCAAAGAGTAGGCTTCAGCCACCACCTGTGCAAAATTCAAAATTTCCTACCAACTGAAAATGTTTATTGTGTCCTGTGCGCTCATATATGCCCCTGTGCAGTTGCGAGCACTGTAAAACTCTTACCAAAAACCAAACAAATAAAATAAAGTTGGCCTGAGCCTTCAACTTGATTGTGTTTTACCTCAGACTGTGCCAAAACAAGAACATTTCCCTATGATATGATTAGTATTGTTTTGTGTCCTTGGGAAAGGCTCTTTGCACAAATTTCCTCACTTCACCTAGGTGGGAATGGGTACCCAGCTATAGACAGTGAAAGATCTTGTCAGTTTGTTAGTGTTTAAGGGCTTTAAAACCAGCTGCTTGCACTGTATGCTTCCAGGGAAACTGAGAATGTTTCTGAGTGTTCTAGGGATGTTGGGGTGATAGTATAGTGTAAAGCGCATAGAGCTTGCTGTCGAGTGGGGATATGAGCTATAATATAAATACCATTTATTATTATTATTATTATTATTACTCCACTGAAAATAAATAAAAAATTTCTCTCCGTTTGTTACTTTGAATATTTATTGGTTCTAGTCCAGGTTCAGCGATTCCTTGTACTAACTGCACCATACATATAGAGAGGTCTTATAAGTTTAGGACAAAGCAGTAATGTAAATTACCCCTTCGACTCCATGATTAAATCGGGCCCAGAACCCAGTGAGGGGGATTTTTGACCACGTTGGTAAAAGTTGGCATTCAAGGCCAGAAAGAAATCATCCTCTCTAAGAAACATTCAGACTCTGGCTTTGGATTTAAGTTTGAGCTCCTTTGAAAAATTTGACAGCAACAGTGTTACATGATGAATGCCATGATTTAATGTATGTTATATATATCACGGCGCACCGGCAGTGGAATTTTAGTTGCCGCGGGGGTTCCCCACCGGGCACCTTCTCACGTCGGGGGCATAGGGGTCAGCTCCTTGTCGCCGTTGTCTGGGTCGACTTAATTTTTGGTACTTTTCAACGTACAATTTAAGGTGTATCCTTGTATTTTTTATGGTAATTCTCATTTAGGGCACCCAAAGCATGCATTTCTGCTCTTGAGACTAGAAAAAGAACGGATGTTGTAACTTGTCTGGTTATTTCGTTAGACGCGCTGGAGTCGGCAATGCTAAATTGTAATTTTTTTTAGACTAGCATGAATGAAAATAAATCAATATAAAAAAAAGGCCTCGTCAAAATCTGTCGTACTTTTGGAACATTATGAACGACATAGCATTGGTGCAGATACTCAGAAAAGATGGTATCTGCGCATATAATAGAAAGCTGTAATTTTGCAACTTTATCCATTGGGCACATATTTGCTATGATGTAATTCCTCCAAATACAACTTTATGTGTCTAATATAATCGTGAATATTTGCAAATTTTCTCGAAAGTTTATAAAATCACCATGAAGTTTCTCTATGAAAAGTACAAATCGATTTTAGTGCTAGAATACATCTTCAATGTACATCTAATACACGAACAGCATCTGTTACACTCCAGAAATTCCTTACTTTTCTTAAAACGCTAAGTCTAGGTTTTGTAAGTTGACTGAATAATACGGATGACTTCTCGTAATTGGGTTATAAGAATAATTTCTAGCTTTCCAGGGACACTGAATCAGCACAAGACTTTTCCAGCTATATTTTTCGTTTCTATGACCATTTGCAATAACTGACTATGTGACTGATTTCTTTACATTCATAATTGTGTCCGCACATATTTCCTACCCAAAAACTAAGAATGAATGTGTTAGCTGTCATTATTTTTATTCCAAACAAGAAGTTTATCTCTACCCATGTATTTGCACGGTTTTGTGTTTTTTTTAATCACTTAGATTCTATATTATATCTTTTTAGTTGTATGCAGGCTGCCACAGACACAGCATGATTCATGAACAAACGCAGAGTAACTTTCTCTTGTTTAATAGTAAAATAAGAGCTAACGCTGATCGTCTTTATTTTAAAAAGCAGATGTGCATCTTTCTTCTCTTATAACTTGACTCTTTCTACTTGCGCAGATTTAAGATTTCTCATGGTAAAAGACATGATATTCGTAGTCAGTTTAACACAGATTTTGGAGAGATCTGTCGTGCCTTTTTAAAATTAACAATCATTTATTCATGTTTGTAACTAAAATAGGACAAATTGGTTACTCTACAAACACTTGTCTAGAACAAAAACTAAGGCACAGAAATAAACCATTCTAACACAGAATAAATCTCAAGACATTGAGCCTTTAGTACATCCGTGTAATGGTTTGCTATGTGAGATGGGGAAGAAGTTATATCGTTTTAAACATAGTAAAAAATGCGAACTTCCTAACCGACACCGGCAAAGTCACTTCAGAGGGCTCATTAAGCCCGTGACCCCGAGTAGGGGAGCTCCGGCGGGCTGCTGAGTCACGCGAACTAAAAGTAACAGAATCGGGCGAAAAGTGACGCCATGATATGTAAAGCTTTTTTTCATCGGAGGAGTTGAGAGATTCCACTGTAGACAGAGATGTTTGCCCTTCAAGGTTTTTTTGGTTTTTTTTGGTGTTTTACGGTGCTCGCAACTGCATAAGGTCATATGAGCGCGTGGGACACACCAACCAAACATTTTCAGTTGGTAGGAAATTTTGAATTCAGCTAGGGTGGTGGCCGAAGCCTACTCTTATCGATTTTAGGACCATCAAGGGATCTTTAACGTGTGCAACTTGCTTACGTGACCTCCAAGGTTTTTCTTCCTTATCTGAGAAGGCTAGATGTAGATCTGACCTACCATAAGATCGGGGGTGTGGCTGAAAGACAGCAGTAAGAATGAACCAAGGAGTTGCAGTAGAAAGGCTGCAGAAAGAGTCAGATGCCCAGAGGAGGGGGCAAAGGAGGTGAGGGGATGGGGGCAGAAAGTGAAGATGAAAGCAGACAACAGAACATTGTTACAAAGCAGGAAAGGATGTGAAAGGAGAAAATTTTAGAAAAAAAAATTGTCCAGCACTATCCGGATTCGAATCCAGGACCTTATGAATGGGAAGCGAACACTTTTACTTTTAGACCACAAGAGCCCCCCCCATATACAAGGTTCTACTGTAGTGACTGTGGTAAGACTCATTGGCTGTTTCATGTGCTCCAGTTATCAGACTCTAGTACTACCCCAAATCAGATTTGCTCTGCACCCTTTAAACTTGTGGAAATGGTGATTATGAAACTGGTTCAGGGATTCTATCAATAGTCATGTCATTTGAAGTTGTCTGTATGAATTAATATAGATCTCAATATTCTGCTATTTAGGGGGTTTCTGCTACCACCATTTCCCCAGCTAAACCACCACTTTTAGTACATAATCAAGATTGTAAATATTTGGTAAGTGACTTTTACTTTTACTTGAAATTATCTTCCAAAACCTCAAATTGGTATGAAATAACCTTGCTTTAATAAATTGATGGTTTTTATTTAAACATTCTAGAGTTAAACAGTATTATTCGCAGAAAGTTCCTCCTTTTTGAAAATTCTGAGTTTAGGCCCCTGATTAAATGGTCACTTTTAAGGACAAGCTGGCTCACCCAGAGTTCAGGTGTTTCCAGAAATCTTAGCCTTCACCAGAAGTGGGCATTGCCTTACGTATAGGAGAAGTTTGGTTTCATTAGTGTGTATATTTGTTTGTTATAGAGAAAACTCTTTAAAAAAAATTAAATGAACAAGGGGCAAAAACTTTACCTCTGATTTTTTCAAAACAGCATTTTTCGGGATAGCCCCCTTGCACTTAAAAGCGGCCAAACAAGAGTGGTTGTTTTGTATCCACTACAGGCCCCTGTGGCGGCGAAGGATCCCCAAGTACCCTGTCTACTGGAAAGGGGACCCCCAGCGTCGTTTGTTTTTGCCTCTGTTCTGGATGAAGCTGATCAAGCCGGAACAAGCTGTTCCGAAAAATGAAGTCCATTTCGAGACCCACCCTCAGTGAGTACACTTTGCTCTTGTGTATGTTTCATAGAAGTTTTAAAGAAAAATCTAGTTCCGTTCTATATGTCTTGAGAAAAAGAAATTTTACCTTTTTCAATGTTCCTTAATTTTTCTATGTAATATTTTTGAAATTTCACGGCTTTCCCTAATACTAATAGAAGAAGTTGTGAAAATAGATTTAGGGAAACCTTTTTTTTTTCTTTCTCTCAGTTGTTTCCATCTATCAGTATATCTTACTTTTTCCCTACTCAAAATCTCCATTGTTTTATGTAAATGTGCTTCTCTCTACTCAATGTGCTAACACCTTTTCTCTCTACTCAAACTAAATCTAAACTGTTCTTCAGTGGGCATTCCATTTGTTCGGTCGGCATTGTGTTGGACTGCAGAGTGAATGGCTCTGGTTTGAATCCCTGAATGGACTTTCTTGATTGAATTTGGGTTGTTTTGTAGTTTTCAAAGCTATGGAAGACGACAGGTTACATTTGGAGGTCCTCCCTAAAAAATAACGTAATTACTTTTATTCTTCCCTGTGATTCTGTTGAGTTCTTTTTATGGGCCTTTTCTACTTCTCAGTAAGTGAATGAAGTGAATAATTGTAAATGTTGTCGTGTGTGGGCCACTCACCTTGGGGTCTGGCTTGGCCATGAGTGTGTCCGTGTGTCGTCTCTCTGGCACAAACACCAGCATGTACTCAGGGTCCTGGGGACAGGTGGGAAAACAAACAACGCTATGAGGGATACAGTCTAGCATGCACATATAGCGAAGCACGTACATAGGGCAAAGTACGAACTGAGCGTAACACTCATTGTGAGCAGATTTTCAGTTCTACAAGTGTTCTCTTGGTTAATGTTGGAGAAAAAAAAACAAAAAAAGGGGGTGGGAGGTGGGGTTGCTTTTATTGGTGTTTGTCTCTGACGGGTGGCCGTTTTAGCATATTCCACTGTATGTTGGTAGATACATTGTGTTTTACTCTATGTTTAAGGCCATGTGGGTGGTTGGCAGGTGCTCTGGTGTGGTTTGTTCCTTCTTTCCTATCAAACATGTAGAGTCCTGATCTCTCCTTTTTTTGTGTTTGTCACTTTCTTGTAACATCTAATCTTTGGCACTTTTATCATGACCTTATTGTGTTGCAAGTACCGTAAAACTCTTACTAAAATCAAATTAAGGCCATAGACCCTCATCATCTTACGCCCTTTTCCCTGTGAGAGTATTTCGTGAAACAGCGTAAATTATGAGTGACACATATATCAGTATCATTTTAAGAAAAACCTTTTACGTTGTTACACCTAGTTTCTGTTACAAAATAGTATAGATTGTGCCTAGTACATGTATTCCTTTTTTTGCGCGTTAAACGTTGTAGGTTTTTAACCATTAGGTTAAGTTAGGATGGGGCTTCGGCTTTGCTGTATGATTATTAGGAGAGTGAAGACCATAAAATTGTTTTTTAGTTTTAGTTACGTTTTACGGCTCTCGCAACTTCATAAGGTCATATGAACGCCAAGGGGTGGATGTCAACAGAGAAGTCCAAACAGGGAATCAGGTTTTCTCACATCTCTAGCCTCAATAGCACAAGGTCTGCTTCGACTGTCAAGGCACCCCGGAAATAGCAGTAGGCAAGAGAGTGACAAACATACAAAAGAAGTAGAGGAAAAATGACGATAGTAAGGATGAGGAAAGAAAAAGCAGCAGTTCCCCCTATTTTGTTCCGGCACAGTATGGGCATGACATTGATAAATCCGCCCGTGTACAATTATTCTACTGTGCATAAGAACATGTTTCCCCCCCCCCCCCCCCCCCCGCTTTGGGAATGGGCTAACGACACAACAGTGGTTTGTCGTACCTCCTCGGAGTCTGTGCTGTCATAGTTGTGCGATCGTCTGCTAGGGTTGGAGGCTATCAGGGTTCTCCTGAGCAGCTCTATGAAGGATCTCCGCGTGCACATGTCGACCCCACCCAGGCCAGCCCAGCCTGTGTCGTGTGCTTCCTTACTGTTCTCTTCTTATATCTCTTCGATCATCCATAATATGTGTCAGCCGCAGCGGAATCTTATTGGCCGTTGTGTTTTGTTTTTGTTTGTAAGTGTGTATGTGTTTGTGTGCGTGTGTTTGTGTGTGTGGGTGGTGGGTGGGTGGGTGTGTTTGTGTGTGGATGGGTGTGTTTGTGTGTGTGTGTGTGGGTGGGTGGAAGGTGGGTGTGGGTGTTTGGGAGAGTACTCTAAATGTCGTGGACAGTTGTACAGTATACTGTACTTCCCGGACATAACACGGGAACTGACGTGATGAATCTACCAGTCTACATGGTTCCTAGACAGCTTGTTTGTATGGCATAGTATCCAGGTTTTCACAAATTGTGAACGAAAAATTGTAAATGATATCAACACTCAGGTTTTCACAAATTGTGAACGATAACTGAAGTAAATATCAGCACCCAGGTTTTCCCGATTTGTGAGCTAAGAATGAATTGAGGAAAACAAAATCCAGGTTATCACGAATTGTGAACAAGAACCTGTCACATCATAATCTATGTTTTCACCAATTGTAAACAAGTGCCCAACAGTACAAGAGCGTCTATGTTTTCCTGAATTGTAAACAAGTACTGAAGAGAAGAAAAACATCCATGTTTTCACCAATTGTAAACGAGTACTCAAGAGAAGAAAAACATTCATGTTTTCACCAATTGTAAACGAGTACTCAAGAGAAGAAAAACGTCCATGTTTTCACCAATTGTAAACGAGTACTCAAGAGAAGAAAAACATTCATGTTTTCACCAATTGTAAACGAGTACTCAAGAGAAGAAAAACGTCCATGTTTTCACCAATTGTAAACGAGTACTCAAGAGAAGAAAAACGTCCATGTTTTCACCAATTGTAAACGAGTACTCAAGAGAAGAAAAGCGTCCATGTTTTCACCAATTGTAAACGAGTACTCAAGAGAAGAAAAACGTCCATGTTTTCACCAATTGTAAACGAGTACTCAAGAGAAGAAAAACGTCCATGTTTTCACCAATTGTAACCAAGAACTGAAGCAAAATGAACCTCCGTGTCGTCCGACGCTCATCAACTCTTCATCAAAATGACAAGCGTAATGCAACTCTAGCTCTCATATGAATAATGTGGTCTAATTAATTTGCAAGCACCTTAAAACTCTGACTAAAAAGCTCAATCTTAACTCATAACTGATGGAAAAAAGACCCCCGTTTTCATCCCGCGTTCATCGACTCTTATCAAAATGACGAAAGTAATGTGTATAGTGGCACCGTTTCTGGTCCTTACCTTTTGTACAGTCTATAAATTCTGATTGTCAACATAGGGAGGGGGAGAGGAAGGGAGAGGGGAGGGAAGCTCGTGTTAACCCTAAACTATCCACAGCGATAAATATTAACGTGAACATTAACAGCACTACGTTTTTGTAATAAATGCAATATTAAAAATAAAATGTTGCCAGTCGATTAAATGCTGTAGATCTAGTAGTACATGTATTTTGAATTCCATACATAAAAACATAAAAACTAAAACAACAACAATAATATCAACAACAACGATGATAACAACGACATCAACAACAACAACAACCACAATAACAACAACAACATCAACTACAACAAATACAGCAACAACAACAACAACAACAATAACGACATCATCAACAACAAATACAGCAACAACAACATCATCATCATCATCATCATCATCATCATCATCAAAAGTCTGGAACAAACGGGCGCAACGAGTCCTACTTTTCAAGGTTCCAATACGGCGCCGCGGACTCGAATCGAGTTTTCTTCAGTTTAGCCAGGGTTTCGGTTCAGACAGGTTGATCTAACAACAGAAGTCGTAAAAAAATAGTTAATTCTTTTAAGAAATACGGAAACAAAGCGAGCTTTCCGCGTTTCTCTGCACGTTTTTTGTTCCCGAGCCTTTCTACCTCAGCTTCTCACTCGCTTTCTCTCTCTCTCCCTCCCCCCCTCTCTCTCTCTCTCTCTCTCTCTCTCTCTCTCTCTCTCTCTCTCTCTCTCTCTCTCTCTCTCTCTCTCTCTCTCTCTCTCTCTCTCTCTCCCTCTCTCTCCCTCCACCCCCCCCCTTTCAAGGAATTTTCTTTCCTATCGGTTTACCGCTGTTTTGGGATTTGCCGTGTTCAGTTTAAACAGTCGTTTTTAGTTTTAGTAGACGTTTTACGACGCTAGCAACTGCATAAGGTCATATGAGCGGCAGAAGATTAGAGGTGTTACAAGAGAGTAACAAACATAAAAAAAGAAGGGGAGATAAGAACGATATATGTTTGATAGGAAAAAAGAAGCAAACCGCACCAGAGCACCCGCCGACCTCCCACAAACGGTTGTTACTGTACACGTACTTACATGCTTACATAACATAGAGCACTGAGCAGCCGCCAACCACCCACTATTAGTATGTTATGTATGTTACTGCTCAGTGCTCTAATGTGGTTTGCTCCTTCTTTCCTATCAAGTATCTTTCGTCTTGATCTTCCCTCCTTCTTTTTGTTTGTTACTCTCTTTTTTACACTTCTAATCTCAGGCGTTTATATGACCTATTTGAGTTGCAAGTGCCGTAAAACTCTTACTAAAAGCAAACCCAAAGTAACATACTACTAGCACAAACTACCTCAAGGGCCGCTGTAGAGGGTTAAGCCGCGCCTATTGATTGAAGGCCCGCCCGGCGGCTCTCTGTTTTCTCACCCTTTCTCTCCGCTGAATGTGATACAACAATATGTAATCCCAGGCTTTCCAGTGCAGGGAACATGTATAGTATATGTACCCATACGTTCTCTGACCGTCGAGATATGTACATATATATATGTAGTCCTAGACAGCATTCCACCGGCTTCTGGGGCCGAGCTGTTAGGCCGTACCTCGTAGATGGTCCGTGTTCGGTTCTCGTGAACCAGCGTTTGTGGTATTAGTTAGTAGTATAGGGTTTTACGGCGCTCGCAACTGCATAAGGTCATATGAGCGCGCGAAACACAAGTTGGTAGCATTCG